AAAGAATGGTAATTATCAAGAAGTCAAAGAATAACAAATGCTGGCGAGGCTGTGATGAATAAGGAACCTTCCTGCATTGTTGGTGGGAACGTAAACTAGTACAATCAATATTGAAATCAGTGCGGAGATTTCTCAAAGAACTGAAAATAGAAATTCCATATGACCCATACACCCCTCTTGTAGGTATCTTTCCCAGAGTTTAAGACATCATATTATAGTCATACATGCATACCAATGTTTATACCAGCACAATTTATAATAGCTAAATTCTAGAAGCAGCCCATATGTCCATCAATAGACAAATGGATAAAGAAAATGTGTTATCTTTACATGATGGAATGCTACTCAGCTATCCGAAGGATAAATTCAAGACATTTTTAGGGAAATGGGTGCATCTGGAAAGTATAATATTGAATGAAATAAACCAGTCACACAAGTTTCAATACTATATCGTTGCTAGGTGTAGTGGCAGACATCTGTAATCCCAGCACTTGGGAGGCTGAAGCAGGAAGTACACTGTGAGTTTGAGGCCAGCCTGACCTATATAGTGAGACTCTGTCTCAAAAAAATAAAACAAAACCAAAATACTATATGGTATCTCTCATTTGAGTAAGGCAAACAAAGAGAACAATAAAAGATGGACAGAAAAAAATAAGTGGATAGATCTCTTGCAAATGGGAAGGGGTCCAGGAGATCAAGGTAGTAGTGAGTAGAATCAAGATATGCCATGTACAGGAACCTAATAGTCTCAAAGAATATAAAGATTTTATGTCATAAACATGAGCTAAGAATTATAATAACAAGAATGAAAATGAGGAAAGAGAATTTAGAGAGGGAGAAAGGCAGGTGGGTGGGAAGAAAAAGGGCACAAAAAAAGAAACAAGCTGTGTACAGGGGACCCAGATGAATATAAGCATCATATAGCACAGATGTATATTGATAAGAGATAAGAGGGACAGCTAACAATAAAGCACATGGGCTTGGTTACACCATGGGCTCCAATCTGTGGGCTTAGGTGGGGCATTAGACGCAGGAGCCATCAGTCATTCCTCTCTGTCACACTCATTCTTCAATGCACTGTGTGAGGAACTGGAGCACTGATTCTTCTTGGACCAATGGGTTAATCTAGTGGAGAGGCATGTTGAAGGTTTTATTGATAAAAGAATGTAATTAGTGACACAGTTGGTAAAGGTTATTTACTGATGACAGAGATAAATTCATTGTTATTATTGCCTAAACTAGCCCAGCATGTATCCTGCCCATACTTTTATAAACAAATAAATAAATAAACTTCTAAAAATAATAAACACACATGAGTATTTATTTACAGTATTTTGAATTGAACCCTGGGTCTGATGCATCCTAGGCAAATGTTGTACTACTGAGCTACCTCCCCAGCCCAAATAGTGAACATTTATTAATGGATCATTAAGTATTTATCATAAATCTAACTTGCAGAGAAGCAAATGAATAAAGGTATACATACAAAAGGCAAGGAATTAAACAGAAATGAAAGAAATTAAAGGAGAAAATTAAGAATGGGGAAAAAACTTGAAAATCCTAGAACAAATTCATGTCATTCCTATATAAGAAATGCTGATCTGTACCTTTCCTTTCCTTCTTTTGTTTTCTTTTTGAGCAGAAAACATTCTGATCCAAATAGACCTTAGAATGGAAGGATAGTGAAGAATAGAGAAGATCCAAAGTACATGCTTGGATCAGGAAACCAAGACCCGGACAAGAAAGGCAGAGGAGGGGCTAGGAGTGAGGGTGAGGGTGTAGGAGAATTCATGCAGCTCAAAAGCTACTTGAGAAAGGGGCAGTGCCCAGGCACCTGGATTCTTATACCATCGTACCTACTATCATTTTGTGGGGTCTGTCAGGGGAGGACGGGATAGGAGAGGTGGATGCCAGCAGTGGTTACATATGAGCTTTCTTTTGTATGAGCAAAATCCACTTCCCCCTTAAGCTTCATTTTGTAGGAGGGAAATACCAAAGATCATGAGAGTTTATAGACATCAATTATGAATGCAAAAGCATAAACTCTGTTGTTTTCATTCTGAGAACAAAAAAAGATCTGGGATTTCCAACAAGAATGTTTTCTTTTCCAGCTCAAGGTGGAGGACCATCTGGTGCATCTGGTGCCGTCCTGGTTAAGTGCGGGGCTGACCTGGGTGTGGCAGGTGAAGTCATCCAGGCTCCACCAGCGATGGGTCTGGGAGGGGAGGAAGCTGCTTGCATTGAGCTTCTCACTTTCAATCCCACAGCTGTGGCTTGAGCATCGCACTGTCCCTGGGGACTGCTTCTTCCCCTGCACCCCAGGGGTACACAGCCGGGAGGGGCAGGTGCACACTCTTTCCTCAGAGCCAGGATTATGTAAACTGCAGCTCTTTATCACCACAAGGGTGTGTCTTCCACAGCTGGTGAAGAACTCAATAAATAGCTTTCAAGTGTTTCATTTTAAAATGTCAAATAAATACATGTTTTACTTCTTCTGGTCTGTGAGGCTTTTGAGCTTTATTAATTTTTAAAAACTTAAGAGCATAACATTTTATCCCATCAGCACCAGAGGTCAAAAAGCATCTTGAGTTTTACTTGTAAAATGAATCCACTGTTTTCTAAGACTTGTTTTCTTTTTAACTTTCTATGATGCTATGATTTCCTATCTTTAATGATAGATATTGTCAGCAGTTCAAGTCTTAAGCAGAAATAAAAATTTAGCTTCTATGTGTTATTTACTTCCCTTCCCTGTGCAGAACTTCTAGATGATGTACATGTACAGACTGGGTAAAGGATATAAGGAATTGTTTTTCGTATTTTTAGTGGCTTAAAATAAATTCACATTATTCATGACAGTACAAGGGAAAACAACTTAAAAATCCAGAACTTGATGGATAAATAAATTAAATATTATATATCCATATAGTATAATAATTATGCAGTGAGTGATAAATCCTGCATGAAATGAGAATCTGCAAAAACAGTTTCAATGAGAAAAGCACAGCAGACCACGTACCATCCAAGACTGGCACATCCGTGGAGACAGGAAGTAGATTAGCAGTTCCTGTATAAGAAAGAAAAAACAAAACTTTTGTTCCTTTTTTTCATCTTAAATTCATTGGCTGGGGTCCTGAAACACACACACACACACACACACACACACACACACACAATTAACAAACAAAAGAAATACAAATTACTTAATGTAAGTTTTAAATGACTTGGGAGCTTTCATAAGAAAATAAAAACCTGAAGAAATGGCAAAACTTGTTTTTATTACTAAGTTTGATTAAAAAGTGGAAAGTCATGGGAAAGTATTCTCTGCACAGGAGTAGGAACTCAGGGTAACAAGCTGAGGAAACTTGGCAAGGCCCGTTTGCCCTGGGTCCTCTCAGGTCCTGTCCTCTCTGGGCATAAGGATGCTAGGAGAGGACCCTTGCATGAGGTCCATGACCTGCTGCAGGGCAAGACAAGAGTCCTGTGTGCACACACCATTTTTCAATTGCCTTGAGCTTAAAATATCCAGTGCTGTGTGTCCTGAACTCTGTCATCTCAGGCTGGAGGAATTGGGGGTTGGGTCATAATGGGAAGTGGTTGCCCATGTGTACAGAGGGATTTTGGGGACAATGAAGATGTTCTAAAATTGATTATGGCAATTATGGTTGCATAACTGTGAATATACTAAAGCTCCCTGATTTCTGCAATCTATGTGGGTGGGTTGTATGGTATATAAAATAAATCTTGATTAAATTAAGATAGGAAGTAGGGCATGGCAAAGCTGGCTGGGGAAACAAGCAGGACCTGTCAATCACAAGGTCCCAGAGCAGTGCTAAATAATTCCCAGGATCCCTGTGTGGAATTTCTCAAGAGTTCCCACAAGATGTGGGTGACATATGAGACACAGTTGCCACAACGAGCCCACTATCATGACTCCTCATAGTACATGTACTCTTATTTTTGCTTTTATCTTATTTTTCTCTTGTTCTGCCCAAATTCACTCTACAGAGCTGGTTTATCCCTCACCTCTTCAACCTGCACTTTTCAAATAAACTTTTCGGCACCATTTTTGGCTTTCTCATCCAATTCTTTGTTCAAGACAAGAAGGATCTGGAATGTTTAATTGGCCATTTTTTAAGGAACTGCTTGATAACAAAATTGTTATTAAAAATCTCCATAGCAGAGCGTGGTGGCAAGGCCTGTAATCCCAGTGCTCAAGTTGCTGAGGTGGCAGGATCACCTCAAGTTCAAGGCCAGCCTGAGCTACATAGCAAGACCCTGTCTCTAAACAAACCAATCAAAAAACCAAAAGCAAAACCAAAACAAAGACAAAAAAACAAAAAAAAACCCTCCTTTCAATTATTGGGGGCCCATAGGGCTTGTGTGTGTGCGCGCGCGTGTGTGTGTGTGATATCCACAGATATTTATTGCATTATTGCACTAGAAAAAATTAAAAAGAAAATTTTCTATTAATTCACTTAAAAATAACACTAATAATCCCATGACATATTAATACCAATTGCATAGTTTTATGAACAATAAGTACACAGTTATCAGTATCCATGGATTTCAAAGAGAGCAAATATTAAGGGAAAAAATAATTGTCTCTATAGAAACTATCATTATTCCCTAAACAATACAGTGTAATAACCATTTATATAGTATTTACGTTACATTAGGTATTAAAAGTAATCTAGAGGGCCTGGGATTTAGGTCAGTGGCACTGTGCCTGCCTCGCAAGCTCAAGGTCCTGAGTTCAATCCCCGGTATTAGAAAAAAAAGAAAGACAAGGAATCTAGTGATGATTTAAAGTATCAAGGAGAAAGTGTGTGGGTGATAGAAATACTATTCCATTTTATATAAAGGACCTGAACCTTCTTGAATTTTGGTATCTGAGGGAGCTTCTACGACAAACCCTCATGAACACTAAAAAACAATTCTATTTTCAAAAATCAGGTTAGTGAAGGACAGGCACTCTTTCACATTCCTGCAAATTTCTTCAGAGTTCGGCTTAATTGGAGACAGGTGGAAGCTCAGGTCCGCTCTGCACCGGGTTGGCTGTGATCTCTTTCACTTGGAGCCTCCAAACCTCACGGGCCCCATGACACCCTGGGGTCACCACGCAAACAGTGGAGTGTTGACCCTCAGCGGAAGCGTCTCAGATCGCACCCATAAGAACCTCTCCCCTCGTCTGCGCAGCGGTCTTGTTCTTTAGCAGCAAGTCAGGAGCTGAGGCTCAGAAGGGAGAAACCTGTCCAGAGTGCCTGGCTGCCAGCGGGAGCCCCGCCACCACACATGTCCCTCCTCACAGCACACTTGCCTACTGTTGATGCTGTTAGGAGATTGTTCCCTCTAGACTTATTTGAAGAACTTAACAAACTCATGAGTACTTACTCTTAATTTTCTCCAAATGTCTTAAGGCAACTTTCTGACTAATTCTTTTGGATTAATAAGAGGCACTTTAGAGTTTCAACAGTTATCAAATGACTTTTCTCATCCCCACAAATTGTAAATCATTGAAAATGATCATAATATTGGCAATAAAAGCTTAATTTTAAAAAGTTCTTTCATTTTGAATACATTATGTTTTACTTTAAACTAATAAACTTTGTGTTTTACTTAAAAATGCTCATTGTTTCAATTAAGCACTAAGGCTTTAGAATCATTAGATCACAATAAATTTTTTCATGCAGGAATTCTAAAATTTTTTTTAAAGAACAAGTATACAGCTATGAAAGCAATAGCTTTTATTCTGGGCAAAATCAGGCTCTGATTGTGTCCCTCCTTCATAGAAAAGCAACATTGTTTCCCATTAGCCACTAGCACAAATCCATGCTTCTTACACTTTATTAACACTATCAAAAAGTCTAAATCAAATCAGCTAAATGGAATGAAGATTTTTGTGGTTGTGTTATTGCTTGTATGCTTAATTTTTTCATTTTTGCCTTTTTGTTTTCTAGGTATCAAGTGAGAAAAGAACTGAGATTCCCTATTATATTACAGCTAACAGAGTGCTTTGTAGAGTGTAATTTGTGCTTACTTTTTATTAGGTCAAACTATAACTATTCATGTTATAAGAACCCAAACTGTAGACAAATAGTGCCTTTTATAATACACAGAGACAAAAACTATCAAAATATACTGAAATACTTCTTTCTGATCTATAAACACCTCTTCAATTACTCATAAGCAAGTATAATTGTAAAGTGAAAGCTGTGAACATAAATTTATTTCTAAGTAAATGCAGAAAAAGTAATGAAAATCTCACTTTAAAAATTTCTATTTGTTTCCCAAGTTTTCAATTTAATCTTTTATTATCCCCTTGTGAATCCTGGAATAACTAGAAAAGACAATTAACATTTTTCTTCCCGTATTTTAAACTGGATCAAATATTTTATAGATCATAGTTTTTACAGGTTATAACAAAGTCAAGTAGCTGTTTATATATCATTAGCAATATTTATCCTTAATTCTTTCCCTATGAGTTTCAAAATTAAAATTTTATTTCTAGCAAATTTAGGTACAAGAGTGAATATTTCACACAGACTTCCCATTCTGATATTATCTTATGCTTTGAAAATAACCCTATGGAAGAGATGGCTAGCACTGTAAGACTAAAATTTCCTTCAATCTGACGGTAGTGTCTTCAAAAACATTCTCAAAAATAAGGTGGTATGGTTTGCAGTGTTCTCCAAATTCCCTGTGTTGGAAAATTTATCACCATGGCAACAGGGCTGGGGGCTAGGGTCTAATAAGAGGTGGTCAGGTTGGGAAGGTTCACCCTTGGAAATGGGGTGTACTATCGCTGGGAGAGGGGTCCTTACCAGTGTGTGGTTGTGAGACAGCCCTGCACACTTTGCTACCCTCTGTCCTTGTGCTCTCTTGCCCTCCCTCCTTCTGTTGTGGAAAGAGAGAGCACAGAGGCCCTGGACAGTTAGTTGTCAGTGCCAGGCCTTTACTTCCCAGCCTCCAGATAGAGCCCAACACACTATTTATAAGGAGTGGTTTATTAGTCACCCAGCCTCAGGTGTCCTGTTGTAGCTCCAGAAAATGGACTAAAACAGTGGACATCATCAATTTCAAAATAAGCAAGCCTGTAAGAATTTCGTCATTGTCACTTTCCTTTTAAGAGTGGTCAGGTTTCCCAGAAATAATGTTAGGGAAAACCTGCACTTTGTTTGAATAATTTTTAAATGATTTTAGTGAGTGTCTCATTTAGTATAAATATAAAACATATTCAAATATTTTATCTAATAAAATATCAAATACAATTTTAGAGACAGCATATACTATCTAGTTCTCACTAGTGTACCATTGCAATGAACTCAGACAGTTAAAAAGAGAGCTCCTGAGCCTTTATTTTTCTTTTTTGGATTCAGCATTTTTAGTGGCTATGCTAATCTCATCAACATGTCTGCAGCTTCTTACTTCAGGAAAATTGTCCTTCCCTTGGTGGGATGGCACATTAATTCCACAATGTTTATGAAAATCTCTTACCAAGATAACACCTCATTTACACTGGTTATAAATGAATCCCAGTCTTTGCTGCCAAATTTTTGGAGCTTCAATGATATCTTAGATAATAATTTCATGTTTTGGTTTGAGCTATCACATTTCTTTTTAAAGGGATATTTCTTTTTATGTTCTCATTTGAATTAGATTTAAAGTGCCCTTGGTATTTGCCACTAAAATCGAACTTCATCATTACTTTTACAGTCATGTACCACATAAAGATACTGGGATCAATAACAGGTCTGCACAGAAAATGGAATTATCCTATAAGATTTTATCATCTAGTGATATCATAGGTATCTTTGGGTAAGTGTACTATATGACATTTGAACAAAGCTGAAATTGCCTAACAATGCATTTCTCAGAACATACCCTGTCATTAAATGATGCATGATTATACCTCAAGCAATTATGAGCCACAGGCAAAAAATGACTTGACTAATACAAAAAATATTCCTTCATCTTTTTTGGCCCTCTTATTAGGTTTGCCTTTTACCATTGTATTGGCATTTATTTTGATGTGGTATTTGAGGCCTGTTATTTAGGGAGGTGGGAGAAGACACCACTAAAATGCACATAAAAATTCATTATATCTTGCTAATATACCCATATTTTTGTGAGTAGTAATGACAGTTCATGGATTTCAGCTTTTGAGGCATTCATAAAGTTGGAACAGATTACACTTCTGTATTCTTTTCTTCTTGTTAAAGTAGTTGAGAGTCAATCAATCATTCAGTCAGATGGCAACCCCAGAGTGCGTTGGCTGATATTGAACAATTGAACATTTATCCCTGAGCAAATGAATCTTTTTTTTGGAAGGGACACCGGGGATCGAACTTGGGTCCTTGTGCTTGTACAGCAGGCAGTGAAACCACTGAGCTAAATCCCCAGCCCCTGAGCAAATGAACTTTTATTAATCAACTCCAAAATTAGACAAAAATAGTTCCCCAGACACAAGCAGTATGAGAAAAATCACAGTTTTCTCTTCCCTGTTTGGAGGAACACAACCCATTGTGTTTCCTGTAGGTGAGTAGCTCCAGAGAGGGAGAGGAGGGTATTCCAAGGTCTAGGGTAGTAGTTTTAAAAATGTGGCTTCAGCATCAGCAACAGCATCCTCCAGATCTTATTATAAATGCAAATTATCATGACCCACTCAAGACCTACCGAATCAAAAGTCTGAGGGCAGAGCCCAGCAAATCTGTCAGATTTTGATGTTCATGCATTTTGTTAAAGCATGTGATCATGTAATTCCTTGTATTAAGCTTATGCTTCAATTTCATTTTTGCCCCAATTTCTATTCACTTTGCCTTACAATATTACAGCCAACACTAACTGTGTGCTTTCTGTGTGCTCTATTCTCTATGCAGTGCTTGACACATTTGCAAATATACTCTGAGGAGATTAAATACTGAAAATTATTACATGCATCCTCAATTACTTTTTATTGTGGCAGGAGTTAAATACACAAACACTCAAAAATTGACCTCTTAGACTCATCTATCTCATTCTTGAATTGAGTAGCCATAGCTTACATGGTGCACATGGAGATCACGATGCAACTTAACTCTATCAGTCTGGCATGCATGGTGAGCTGGTACCTGATGTGTTCAGAATAATTCTCCTACAGTTGGATGTAGCATGTTCTGCTTAGGGTTCTGGATGGGAGAGGAATTGTTCTATCATACAACACTTCAAATTATAGGAGACTATCTGAGGAGAGGGATTTCTTCAGTCAAAATTAAAAAGAAAATATGGAAATTAAATTTAAATGAATTTGAAATATTTAAATCAAATTATTAGATAATTCCAGAAAATAGAGACAGGTTTTATAAAAGGCACTCACAGAATAAGTGTTCAGGAACATTATCACCTCACGTAAAGGAGAAGTTCACAGGGCTGAACTTTATGTGAATCCAGACCATAAAGCAATACAGGTCTCTTTCTTACAGCTTTGTTTCTCTTTCTCCTGGCTTCCTTCATAGGCAGGGCCTTATCATGCTGTGAGAAGGCATCTGTCAATGGCTCTGACTATAAATCTTACAATTTTTGCAGCCTCCTGTGAAACCTAGAGCCACTTCCTCAGGGCTCTACAACAGATCAGAAGTCTGGTTGTTAATTGGCCCAGAGTGTGACTCAAATTGGCCAGCCTTGGGTTAAGAAACCAACTTGCAGTCGAGAGTTTATGGAGAAATGTTGCGAGCATTAAAATGGAGTCACTGGTATCAACTCTACCAAAAAAATGAATATAGCTGGCAGATTATGAAGGAAAGGATTTTATACATGACTGTCACCTCATCACAACTATCACTACAAACTCTGCCAGAACAGAAACCTGCACAGGAGCCACTTTATCCAAGAAAGTACTTTTACAAGGGCATCTGCTTAACCACTGTTCAATCCTGAGTCATTTTTGTTATTAGTCATTGTGACCCAGGATTATTATTTCAAAGTAGGTGATGTAATCCTCCTCACTTATGTTTTTAAAAACTTGCCCTTGCCTCTACTACTTTGAATGTGTCCATAGTTTACTATAATATATACTCTCAAAGCAATGTTCTGTTATCCCCATTGCAATGCTCTGTTAGTTCCAAATAAATACGAGTATTTTGTGGAAAACCTACCTCTCTGACTTTTTTAAAAATTTAGTTTGACAGGTTCTAACAGCCCAGTGCATGCTCTGTCAGTGCAG